TTTGTATTGTTTCGTATTTTTGAAAGACTATCTTTATGTGGAAAGCTCTTTTCTTCTTTTCTATAAAGTTAACAATTCTGTGTAAAAATGCAGTTGAAGCTGAAATAAATATTAAGTCTGCATTAATAAAACCATTAAATTACTAAATAGCAAGATATGAACCCTGTAAGATGCCGTACCTGATAGGGTGACACAAATCTTCTGGCACATGTACACTCAATCTGCCAGACAGTCCTGCAAGCTCAAGTAACCACAAACTACAGTTTTCAGACCTGAGAGCGGAGAAAACACTACAGTGCAGTCGTATCAAATTTGCAACCCCACTGCTCTTACCTTGCTCTTACCTTCTGAACTGCTGTAAACCTACATAGTATTTGTTCTAAAGTAATTTAAAAGTAGCAAAACTCCAGAACGTGATGCTGGCAGAGCTGCCATTTTTCTTCTCCAGAAAAGTTATGCACATTAAATAAAGCATATAAAAAACCTTCTGTTTGTTCTTTAATGGGCCACTGTCAAGGAAACAGGCCTCAGATTGAAATTATGGTATGCTTAAAAACATCCTTTAAATAAATAATCCTAAATACCAGGTCTCAAGCCCCATCATGTCCCCCAAGACCAAATGCTAATCATGCCCTCTAAAATGAAACACTGTTTGTTTCTCAGCTAGGCAACCAAGCAAAACTATCCCGGTGCTCTCCTGTGCCTGTAATGTCAGACAAACCCAAAACACTTTCAGCCTTCTTCTGCCTGCCAAGCCTTGTGGCTAAGTACTGACATTTACAAGCCAGAATATTCTAATATTCTGTCCATAAAATAAAAAGGTCAGACATAGTATAATATGCTTATGCAAGTGTATGAAGGAAGTCTGCTAGCTTTCTTACTGCCCTCTCTGAGAATGCGCTTATTTTTTCTTGTGAGTGAAATCAAGAACACTTGGATTTTGCTCCACTTACGCAAAAAGTAGGAACCTTAATAAAAGTGAGAGCAAGAAGACAGGGGAGCAGATGATGTGTGCTTCTCTGTAAAATAAATTTGTCACTGTTGTAATTTTCCTCATCTCACAGCCTTGCCCCCATATCCTCTTCTCAATTGTCAGTGTTCTAACACAATGTGCCCCAGTATCTTTTTTAAGTTAGAATAACTGGTTGTCACTGTATATGAAAATGAAGTAAGGTGTGTTTGTACCTTTGAAGCAGGGACAAGAGAGAGAAAGGTGCACTTAGGTTAGGAGTCATCAGTCAATGAGAGAAAAAGATTCAGGCAGAGATATTATGAAATATTCACCTCATCTGCAATAGTTCTTCTGTTATAGGAGGCTTTTACTTGCCTTCCTCCTCTAATATCAAACAGAGTATCTTTGTTCTGCCTATAGTATATGGCAAGTGTCACATGGAGCACAGCAGTGCTGAAGCAGCAATCTTTGAACTGCTACATAGGCTCCTAATACTGGAAGTATTAATGGAAGGTGAATGCTAAGTATCTGGCACATAGAGAGAGTGAGGCAGATGACAGTGTGTGCTAGGAAAAAGTGAGAGAGAGAAAAGCAGAAAGATTCTGAAGATAGTGCCAGGGAAAGCATGCTCTTATTTTTCCACTTTTAAAGGCCAGAACAATGTCCCCAACCTGCTGTACGTTGTCCTGATCTTTCTTCCCTTCCTTCTGGTTCTGTGACTATATCCAATTAACTACAGATACTTCAGTATCTTCCATTTTGCCTGAATTGTATAATTAAAGGGTCTTTTTCTCATTGATTGTCTTTTAAATTCTTAATTACAACAGGTGAGAATAGCAGTATTGATGTCCGCATTTCTGGTCTACTTTTGCCTGACTTTCCTAGCTTGCTAAGAAAATGAGAAATATAACTGTAGCATTCTTAATTCTGATTTTTTACTCTAGCTGTAAAATATCATTCAGTTAAGGAAAATTATATTGGCTATCTTCCTTACTGGTGTACTTGATTAGAACATGTTTTACAATTTCATGTTTCTATTGCAGTCAACTTTCCAGACCTTACAGTTGACAGCAAATGCAGAAATTGAACCACACAACCAAGACTTATTTGTAATTGGAGAGAACACCTTAACTGTAAGTGTTACACAAGCAGAAATGTTTCATTTATTTATTTCACTATATACCAGTGCTAATATTTTGGTACTTTTTTTGTGTCATAGACAGGTCTGCAGCAGGTTACAGAAATTGTATTACCCTCTTTAACCTCTATTACCAACTAAACATTTTCATTCGCTTGGTTACATGCAATCTTGTAAATTCTAGAGTTGTTTAAAACTTTGATTTCATTTTATCAGTGTTCCTACAGATAGTGTTTAGTTAGTGTAGATGAGTTTGCACATCTGAGCTTTGTTTCAGTTTAGCTTCAAAACCACCAACAAAACATGGTAGAAATCTCCAAGGTTTCAACTAGTTTATTATGCATGTAAAAGTGTTTGAATTTCTGCACAAAAGAATAAATTGTCCAGGATTCATGAACTTCAGGAAATCTTTCACATACTCTTATTTTCATTTTTATTTGTATTTTTACATTTGAGTTTAATAATGAATGCTTTGCATGCATCAAATTATAATTAAATCTATGCTATAACATGTTGCATAGCATTCTCTAGCAGCAAATGGATGTAGCAAAGATTTTTTAAGTGATTTTTCTCAAATGCTTTGGGTACACCGATATGGTTATGAATATTTCCTCCCAATGATTTCATTCATTAAAATGTAAATATTAAATAGTATTTAAAAATATTTTCTTGTAACAATACTCTGAAAATAGAAAAACACATCTGCTTCCCCTGGTGTACATGTAGCATGACACACACTATTTTTATATAGGACTAGCTAGTCAATCTAATGCATGAAAATGGACTGACTTTTCCAAAATCCAATCTAACCCATGAGAATGGACTGTCTTTTCCGAAGTCCTTGAGGACCAGAACACTACTCAAGAAACAAGCTAGAAAGGGAATTGGATTACTCATGATGGTGATAGGCATCCATTTGGAGCTACAAGAAAGTCCAATTAAATTGGGCCCTGGCAGGATGATCAGGGACCAGTTTATAGCTGAATTGGCTCAAGGCAGTCTTCAGCACAAGGCAGGAGTGATGCTCTAAATCGCACCTCTGGAGTTGTAAGAAAGTAGCCGGTCTGCTTCCAGACCTTCCGTACTTCCCCAGTCTTTGAGCTTTTGGGGAAAGGAACAGCACCAGTCCCTCCTCTGATGGTTTTGCCAGTCTGGCCCTTTGATTTCCCTTACAAATGCCCCAAAATAGCATGTTTCAATTTAACACTTTTTGATCATTCATTTCCATGACAGAAACCTTAAAACACTTACATTTGGTTTCATCTGTCTGAACCACATTTATTTTTTTTAGTGATTTGGCAGGTGAGCCCAAAACATCCATTTTTTGCAAAGAGAGAGTATTGCCACAGGCTTGAGTAGTCCATATTGCAGGTGTGAATTGGGATGCTTTGCTCCATATTACCAATGTCTGAGGGAGAGGGAAGATGGTAGTTTGCAATCTTTTTTTCCCCTCATGGATATGCTCTCCAAATAAACAGGATCCTACTGTCCCTTCATCCCTGAAGGACTGTGTACAAATTCAGTCTTTCTTCTAATCCCTTTATCTCCCCTTTCAAGGCTTCTCTCTTTCCATGTCCTTTTTTGATTGTACATGCTAGGGAATCCCCAACCAAGTTCCTTAATATCTAGTATTTTCTTGTCAACCTGTATAAAAGCCTGGAATTGAAATCCCTGCTAGGGACCTATAACTGTCTTGTGTTCAATAGAAGCCCCCAGGGAAGATTATGATGATGAGTTATTTAAGGTATTTTCACTTTATAAAATTGAAATTATGTTTCAATTTCAGAACCAATAATCTGTTCATTGGTGTGCAAAGACAGTGTATCATTACTCCTTAGAAGTGCTTGCAGTGTAAATAAAAGATACACTATCTATGTGAGCTCTTTTGTCTCAAATATGGACACCTGAGGTTTTAATCTTTTCTTAAAATGAAATTCCATTTTTGCCAAATAACTGTTTAGGTATAGGACCAGGAATCTAACAGTAAAAACCTGTGTATTAGTAACTGATAAAAAACACCCAGAACCGAAATGCAAACTTTATTACAGTGGTATTGCAGGAATTCTAGATGAAATGCTAACTTCACTAGTAAGATTCCCATAAACTTCACTGAGTTTAGTGAAGCCAAATTTTGGCCTTCCTGCAATTTCAGATCAAATCTGTTCAGCTGACATCTAAAACATTTGTTCTGCTTCGCAGCCTTTGAAACTCAAGCTAGATGCTTTCTGGCTCATGCATCAGCCATACAGATTTTGCAGGTGGGACTCTGTTCACAATATTCAGAACAGAATAGACCCTTGCTAACACTCCCTGAGCTGTGTGGGCTTCAAACGGCTCAAGAGAAAGAAAACATTTCACTGAAGGCAACAGCTTCATCCCTTGCTCAGTAGCCCTTCTCCCTATAGGAACTCTGAATACACCCTGACACCTGGGCAAGGGTCATTGTGTTGTGGTGCTGTCTATGGAGCACATGAGTTCCCTCCATTGCTCTAGGGTGAAAGTCTCCATTTGGCACAGGGCACATTTCCCTGGCTTGCTTCAGTGACCATCTACTCCCCAACCTTTGCCACTCACCAGTGCAGAGGAGGGGATGTAGCTGTTGTGCAGGCTGCTACCCTGGGTAGTTGGTACCTAATTATATACAGTTCCAGCCTTGTGTCATCATGAAAGCAGGTCACAATGTCACCTTAAGAGAGTGCCGCTTTCACGTGGTGACCTTTCAGAGTTGAACTGCTTTTAAAAGTTGACAGCTTGGGTATTCTTCCAGTGTCTGTAACAGTTGTCACTGAACCACACAAGAATATAAAATAGCTTGAGTCCTGTTCTACATTAGAGAAGCTCAGTTTCGGTGTAATCAGATGAACTGAATTTATCCTTTGTTGCTGTGTGGAAAAGGTTTTTAGACATGTTTGTGTGGGAAATATTTCAGATTTTTTCCAGTTAAAAGGGGCTGCCAGTTGGAGGACAAAGTTCAGACTATTCGCCTGCTAAAATCATTACTGTGGCCATTCTGTTTTAAAAAGCACAAAGGCTACTGCCGTGAAATGGATACACGTAGCCCCACCCAGTACAGCATACAACAGGCTTCCAACAGTAAATCTTAAATCGCCGAGGCAGCAGGTCAGTGCAAGTTTCCCAGAAAGCTTGAGTTCAAATTGCATCAGAAAGTGCTGAGAGCAAGCAGCTCTAAGAGTATACAGTGCCATCTTTTTTTTTGTGAGAGTTAATAGCAGTGTATCAAAAAAGTGCTTCTACAAAGATTAATATTAACAAGATTTGGCAGTTTGTAAACATATTACTATCTATAGAGGTGCAATTGTACATGCCTATTTAATTAGCTGACCTAACTCACCTTGATAGACATCACCTGGAAAGTGGTAGTGGGATTAGAGTGGCATTGTAGCCATGATGGTTCAGGTGGGGACTCTTCCATCAGTTATTTAGCTGAATTAGTAGAGGTCTATATTTTAAGGACATGGACAAACATAGCCCCAGTCCCAGGGGCGAGCGTCCTAGAATATGACTGACTAGCAATAGTGCCATGTGCAACACCCACCGGCAGTGCGCCGGGTCACTACAGAAAAATACTCTCTAGTAAAAGGAGGGGAAAAAAATGAAGACCTTTCTTACTCTTGGTCCTGTAGAGTGTGAGGGGCCATCTCTTTGTTATGTATTTGCAAAATACTTAGTATAAAGGGCTCTTGTCCGTGACTGGGGCTGTTGGCACTACTGTGATATAAGTTAATAGTTATTGACACCAGAGAATTGGGCAATAGTTTTGGGCATTCTGCCAGCCTTTACTCCTGGAAATTGTGCAGTTTCTCCAAAGAAATAAAAGCTTGGATTAGATCTCCTTTAAATACGGTCAATATTAACAGACACAACCTATGTTCTTTCAGATTCCAGTTACAATAATGAAACCTGATGAGAAAGCAGAGATACCAGTCGGTGTTGTGATTGGAAGTGTACTGGCCGGGCTCATACTGCTGTTAGCACTGGTTGCTCTTCTGTGGAAAGTAAGTAGCCATTTAGGGCACTTGAACATGTGACAGGGGTTTAATCCCCAAGGTTTTATTCTCTGCCCCTAAATTGAAATGGTGGGTTTTTAATTGCCCCTGGGAGGCACTGCCACTGTAGAGGGAATAACCAGGGGCCCCTGTAGCTCAGGAGCTGCTCAGCCCACAGACAGCTCGCCCCTCAGCAGGCTCCACCAAAAAAAAAAAAAAAAAAGGAACAGACCC